CACAGACTCGTTGTGCGTGACAATTAATGTTCGTGAAAATTTTTTTCAAAATTTTACACTTTTTAGGCAAAATGTTTTTATTTTACATTTGTTCAAATAGAACTCATTCATGGCTTTGGCTGAACGTCACAGTGTAGGAGCCCAGAGCGTGACACCTCCACAGGCCGTGGCGGAGTAGCGCAGTTGGTAGTGCCTTTGCTTCCCATGCCAAAGGTCGTGGGATCGATCCCCGCGTCCTCCACAGGCGAATATATTTCTTAATCCTTTATTAAATCCTTTATATTAAGTTCACTTGCTTGCGTGCTTACGACCGTGCAAATCTTTCGGTCGTTTTTTAACCCACTTCCCGTGATCCAATCGAGCTGACATTTTGTACAAAAATATTATATTTAATTACCAATTGCTTAATGGTGGCATGCAATCATCTGACCCATAGGTGGCAGCCATCTCAAGCCAGAGGACGAGAGGACTCTAGCCGCCACGCATATAAAGGATTTATAGTGAAAAACTTTGTTTTTACGGGTTATACTGGTTTTTATCTACCTACGTGACTTTACCGAAAGAACCCAAGAGTATAGATCGTCATCAGTGGACCAATGGTGCCCCACGTGGGCGCGTGACTGGGGACTTCATGAGTTTCCTGGCGACATTCACGCGTTTCATTGTTTGCTCCGTCCAGGTTCGGTGTCGCAGATGTATGAATAAATCGCAGGTTGTGTTCATGTTTTAGGCCCATATCTGTGGAGTAGGCGTCGATCAAGCATTGTCTGTCATTGCTACCGTGTTACATCGGATTGAAGGAGTGACCGGTGTGTGTGTAATGTTCGGGTCAGGACACGTATTGGATTTTAAGCTTTCGTGACTGCAGGAATCCATACTCTTTGGTTCTTTCGGTAAAGTCACTTAGGTAGAAAATAATATAAGTCACGACGTTTCGATTGCAACACAAGCAATCATCAGCAGGTGGGCACACCACAGCAAGAAAAATGTTTGCTGAAGTGGTTTTACCACCTGACGATGATTGCTTGTGTTGCAATCGAAACGTCGTGATTTATTTTATACCTACGTGACTTTAACGAACGAACCAAAGAGTACGTACTGTATTGATATCAGGAATATTACATTGCTTATTAATCAGGCATTTTATATTATAATAAAAACATTAACATGTAGTTTTTTTTTTTATCTACCACGTGTTTTGTTTAAGGGATTTATGTGTGAAGTTTATATTTTTAATCGCCTTGCGTTTCATGTTGATATTTCGTTCCACGTGTTTTAGGTTTAATTGTGACTGCAGTATATAGTAGACCGTTTCGTGTTTAACTGTGTTGCGAAATACACCTCCAGCGTTTATTGTCAGACTCAACCTGGTTATCTTAATCTGACGTTTATCGATGGCACGTCTCATACTGGTCAGGAAATCCGATCATTAGGACTGCATTGCTGCGCTCCATACAAACATATTTTGTTTAGTTTGCTTCGTTTTAAATTCAGATCTCCCCTTGAATTGGAGACGTAGTCTTAACGGGCTATTATCGTTTCCTTGCGGCGTCGCACTGACCGCTCGTACGAATCCTCCGCGTCGGACAACGCAGGTCGATTGGCCTTGCAGGACGGAATTTTGATGTGGAGGGAGGATATGGTTGTTCGGTGGTGGATTATGGTGCCAGATGCACTGCGGGACGAATTGGTGCGTGTACTACATGCAGAGAAGTTATTGCACCTGGGTGTGCAGAAAACCTTATTCACACTGCAAGGGGATTACTTTTGGCCGGGCACGACGGCCGAGATCGCTAAGATTATCCGTGCCTGCCCCCACTGCGCTCGACGGAAACCGCCGCAGCGAAAAGATCTTCCGCCTTTGCCGTCTTTCAGTTACACGCATTAATGAGCTGGTGGCTCTTGATGTTCTGGGCCCATTTCCACCCACTCCCCGGGGCAACAAATTCTTTGTGTGGGGTTGAAATATTTATCTCGATGGCCAATTGCATGACCGTTGCGCGATCAATTGGAATCCTCATCACCAATGCGTTTGTGAATGGATACGTTATGGACAAGGGTGCCCCAGGACCATTGCCCTTCCCGCTTGTGACCGAGGTGCTTTATAATCCCACCAAGGCAAAGAGAAACCGGTGTCAATCTCTAGGTGGAATGGGGGTTGCAATGGTCTTTCCAGTTTGCCCAGATAGTTTTTTTTGCCATGTAGGTTGAGTATGGCATAAAACAGGGTTGACAGCCCCCTTGGTTTTAAACTCTTTTAAGCAGTCCGGGGGCCCACCTCTGTACCACAGTTGAAATGGTTAATATCCTGATAACTAGGACATATCCAGAAGGCCAAGATTTGTCTGTATGGTGCCTTGGTGGACATCTAGGAGCAGGTCTGGAGACAGAGCTTAGCCTTCCTTTCACGAGTAAGATAGTGCAATCTCTCTCGTGGATCCACAGCTTGGGCGGGTGAAACAGCTTGGCGTGTACACGTTTCCCTATCCAGTGTCTCTATGTTGGACATTTCATGGTGCAGTCGTTGAGAGTTTAGGATGCAGAATGTGGAGCTGAAGACATTGGGTTCCACTGGAAAAACACCCTGGTTAGTTGATGCCACCAGGCTGGGCTCACCACCAGGTCAAGGCACCCAAGAAAGCGCTACTAAGGCCAGCCCAAACCCAAGGTGAGAGAATAAAGGTTACATTACATCCTTTTGTCAGTAATGTGTGCGAGATGGTGCGGGCGAGGGAGACAGTTACATGTATAATGGGAGGGCTCTTCAAATAGTGAGGCTCCCAATTTAAAAACTCACTGCCACCAGTGGGGCATGCAGTCTTCCCCCTTAAAGGGAAAGCCGTGGCAAGGTCGCATGGCCCCTCGGGTGGAGGGTGTGTGTAGGCCTCCTTTAGGCGAGGTTCATGCCACTCAGAAGGGTCCCACTGCTCTAGGTGATATCCACAGATTGAAGGATTATATAATTTCACACCAAAAACCACCATTCACCATTAAGTCACGTTGCCTTTACCACACTGCCCTTGCCACGCTCGGTGCAGGAGGCCACAACCATGTTGAAGGTTTTGCAGCATGAAATCTGGTAAGTGGTACACCCTCGGGGAGGAAAGGGAGTGCCTCCCCAGGGAGGGCTACGCGGAATGTCCTCCCATACCAAATAACGAGGACAATGGGAGAAAGGAGAGAGACATGTTGGGGGGGTGGCCTCAGTCTGCAGCCAGGCTCGTCGGCAGAGCAGAGGGCCATGTGACACTCCCTGGAGTAGCAGTTAGGACAGCTGAGATGGTGCACGAGAGCCAGCTTGGGCCGGCTCCTGCTGCACTCCACACCTCTGGGTCGTGCCAGCTAGCCAATTCCACCACTGGCTCGCGTCGGCTGTGAGCTAGTACTTTTTACAGACTTGACAAAAAAAGCAGTTCAAGGTGTTTGTGGGTACACAGTAAAAATAGGTATTGAATCAAGATGGGGTATAGGAAAAGGTACCACTTTTATTTTCGATATCTGCAACGTAAGAAGTTGCAATTTGACAAGAGCCATTTCCAAAAATACTTTTAAACCTAACCCTGCCCCCACCAATGGTGCACATCATTAGCAGTTCTGAACAAGTAGCTTCAAGTGTAAAACAAAGACAGACAAACCAGGCATTAATACATTTCAGCTGTGGGGTCAACTCGTGGAACAAATTTAGGAACACTTGGGGGAGGCATTTCGGACCCAAAATGGATGGAAAGTGTTTGGGCCATTTCACAGCTAGACACTTGAATTTGTATTTCACGATCAACATTGCGTTTTGACAGTCTCGACACCACAGGATTGTGTACACAATGGATTAATGTAAAGTGTTACTTTTATACATAAAGCTGTTTGTACCAATTGGTTGCAAATGGCTTAAAAATTGCAAAGTATCAGTTAGCAAATTTAAGACTCTTCAAATTGTGCAATTAAGTGCAGAAAAGTTGTAAGTGGCATTCAAACGTTCATGTGGTGCATATTTAAGTGGTCGTCTTCGAGTGTACAGGTTAAGTAGAGGTAGATTCTGAAAAACAGCGAAGAATGGTTAGGGAACAAAAATTAAAAGGAAATCTGGGGAATGTGCAACGTGACTCGAATGCCACCTTTCATAATTTACGTGGTGATAGAATGCTCGGTATAAAAATTGCCCCCATAATTACCGACAGAGGTGACCAATCCTGCACGCCATGCATTGGCCCTAGCTTTGGCTGTATGGCAAACATTTTTTGCTCTACCATTGAAGAAAACCTTTCCATTTTTACCATGGATGTCACTTGACCCGACTTTACTATGTCGAGTCTCAGGTGAACAGGCCCATGACTGGTTGAGAAACAATGGAGCCGACAAAGTGTTCGTTTTACGTCGTCGAAATACAAGAAATTGCCAAGCTTAAAATGCAACATCTTTAAAATGCAGCCAGCATAAAGATAATTAAATTACTCATGGTCAACTTTAATGTGTGTTGTACAAAAAACACACCAGCACCCTCAAAGTTAAAAGCAAACATTGTTGTAATAAACAATTGTAATGTCAGAAAACACAATTTGGAAATTATATTTGAGATGTACATACCACTGCAAACGACACCAGCATCTTCACCATGAACGCAGTTGTGTTGCCCCCATGGCAGATGAGGACAATTTCCTAAAGAGGACTCGGATCCAATGCATGTCACATCATCCAACAAGATGGCACCAATGCCCTGACCAAAATAGGCATTCGATTGGGCAGAAAGAGCAGCTCCACAGCCGACCTTTCGGCAGACAACCTTGGCATCATTGATGTTCCACCCATCATCACAGACCGTGCCCCAGGAGCCAGCATAGAGGACCTCCACCCTGCCTTGACATGGGTTTCTTCCTCCAATCAGGCGAATTGCTGATTCTGGGAGTGATTGTTGCAAGTCAAAAGTTTCAGATATAAAATCAAATGCTATCATTCGGAATCAAACTTTCATTCCAGGATGTATCAATTACAAATTCTAAACTCACCAATCTGTTGAGATGTCGGCTGGCTTTTAGTGGGCGATGAGCTTGTTTGAGCTGCAACCAATAAAGCGAATGTTAAAACGGCGTTTGCCTTTATCCGTGACAAGGACAGTGAACCACGCACAATAAACTGTCATTGCAATGCGACCTTTTAAGACACAAATTAGCACTTGAAGTTAAAATGAAACATTTTGAGATGTACACACCACTGCAAATGACACCAGCATCTTCACCATGAACGCAGTTGTGTTGCCCCCATGGCAGATGAGGACAATTTCCTAAAGAGGACTCGGATCCAATGCATGTCACATCATCCAACAAGATGGCACCAATGCCCTGACCAAAATAGGCATTCGATTGGGCAGAAAGAGCAGCTCCACAGCCGACCTTTCGGCAGACAACCTGGGCATCATCGATGTTCCAGTAATCATCACAAACCGTTCCCCAGGAGCCAGCATAAAGGACCTCCACTCTGCCTTGACATGGGCCTACTCCTCCAACCAGGCGAATGGCCGTCTCTGTGAATTAAAGAAATGTACACCGAATAAATTGGCAAGCTTTAATATAGACTAATGTGAGATCATAATCGGGTTTTTCCACTTTTTCCTGCAACAAAACCGAATCCTTGTAAAAAGACTTCAGTTTATTTGGAAAAAAAGGGGGAAACCGTATCATATGTTGGTACTGGCAAAGGTCTCATGATTTAAATGAGCCATCATGTTCATGCTTTCCTAACTTAGATGATTTGAAAAGTAATTTTTTTAAACGTAGTTATGCGTATTTAGAGAAACCTCCATTTAAAAAACGTATGAATTTGCATCTCCATTTCTTGACAAATTGATACTCACCCGGGGGTTGAGTTGTTGGCTGCCTTGTAGTGGTTGATGTACTTGTTTGAGCTGTAACCAATTAAGTTCTCACTTTAAAAATGGTATTGAATTGAGACAAGTCAAGATACTGCATTAACTTTTGTAAATAAAACAGCAAACCACCATTTCATATTAGAAAATAACATTTGGAACTATTAAAACATATTTTGAGATGTACACACCGCTGCAAATGACGCTAGCATCTTCACTGTGGCTACAGTCATGCTGTCCCCATGGGCGATGAGAACATGATCCCAGAAAGGATTCAGAACCATTGCATCCGACATCATCCAGCCAGATGGTGCCAATGCCTTGACCAAAGTAGGCATTTGATGGGGCAGAAAGAGCAGCTCCACAGCCGACCTTTCGGCAGACAACCTGGGCATCATTGATGTTCCAGTAATCATCACAGACCGTGCCCCAGGAGCCAGCATAGAGGACCTCCACTCTGCCTTGACATGGGCCTCCTCCTCCAACCAGGCGAATCGCTGATTCTGGAGAGATGTGATTGTAAAAAGCCAATGGTTTATTATAGTAAATCACATATGCTACCATTTGGAATCAAATTTTGAATGCAGGACGTATCAATTTTACATCAATTACAAATTCGAAACTCACCAATCGGTTGAGAGGTCGGCTGGCTTGTGGTAGGTGATGAGCGTGTTTGAGCTGCAACCAATAAAGTGAATGTTAAAACGTTTTTTTTTTACCCGAGGCCCAGACAATTATGTTGCACTATCTGTTAATGTAATAAACAGTATAGACGCATGAGCACGGCATGTTTAAATAAAAAATTTGAGATGTACACACCACTGCAAATGACACCAGCATCTTCACCATGAACGCAGTTGTGTTGCCCCCATGGCAGATGAGGACAAGTTCCTAAAGAGGACTCGGATCCATTGCATGTCACATCATCCAACAAGATGGCGCCAATGCCCTGACCAAAGTAGGCATTTGATGGGGCAGAAAGAGCAGCTCCACAGCCGACCTTTCGGCAAACAACCTGGGCATCATTGATGTCCCAGTAATCATCACAGACCGTGCCCCAGGAGCCAGCATAGAGGACCTCCACCCTGCCTTGACATGGGCTTCCTCCTCCAACCAGGCGAATGGCTGTCTCTGTGGATTAAATAAATTTACATTCGTAGTGACAAATGGGTCACTACGGCACCAGTTGCCAGCTACTGACAGGGGAACTGGTAATTTAGTAGCCCTCTGCCAGCAGGGTACACTATGTTATGAAAAGGGTCCCTAGGGGAGCATTGTTCTGGTGGCTGGCAGTGGAGGGCATTTGAGGACGTAGTAGCCAGATTGGCTGGCAAGGGCAAGTGACAGGACAAAGCGAGGAGGTGGGCCATTTAAGGACAAATTTACTCACCAGGTGGTTGAGTTGTTGGCTTGCGTGTAGTAGTTGATGTACTTGTTGGAACTGCAACCCATTAAGATTGCTCGTTTTAGAAAGTGGTATTGGATTGAGTAACTAAGTCTATTGTAGAAACACTATTTCATGCAACAGAAAAACATTACAATTAAATATAAAACTAAAATTAGGACGTTGTATTAATATGTATTTATAATGTACCCACCACTGCAAATGACACCAGCATCTTCACCATGAACACAGTTGTGTTGCCCCCATGGCAGATGAGGACAATTTCCTAAAGAGGACTCGGATCCATTGCATGTCACATCATCCAACAAGATGGTGCCAATGCCCTGACCAAAGAAGGCATTTGATGGGGCAGAAAGAGCAGCTCCACAGCCGACCTTTCGGCAGACAACCAGGGCATCATTTATGTCCCAGTAATCATCACAAACCGTACCCCAGGAGCCATTATAGAGGACCTCCACTCTGCCTTGACATGGGCCAACTCCTCCAACCAGACGAATCGCCGATTCTGGAGATAAAGGGATTGTACAACGTTAATAGGTTATTATAGTACTAGCCTATCCAAGGATGTGTGTATTGCAGTTAATCTGAAATAATGACCCACTCATTATTTATGAGGGGGGGGGGGGGGGGGAGCTCTGTGGAGTGACACACAGAAGTCATTATACTGGTAGGAATGAAGTGGACCAGCCTACAACAGATTATATCGTCCGTCCGATGTCGTGTAGCAACATCGCCCCCTACTGAAAACACTTGGCATGACCCTACAAAAACCTTGACTTGAGGCTTTCCTGGCTAAACAAGTGTAACATTCCCTTGTAATTCTCTCAGATGGCTTTTAATTAAAACATTTAAATAAATGAGGCTTTCCTGGCTAAACACGTGTAACATTCCCTTACAATTCCCTGAGATAGCTTTCAATTAAAACAATTAAATAAAAAACAGCGCCCTAAAGCCTACAGCTAGGCCTAAAGCCTAGAACTAGGCCTCAGCCTCCCTTCGTATCGTACCCGCGTGTGTGAAAGGGAGTTAATGTTTAACAATGTTACATTCCCTGATGTTTTAAAATAGAAACATTTACATTTAAAGTTTACATTAATAATTAAAACATTTAAATTATACATTAATACTTAACATTTAAATTACAAATAAACTCACAGCACCCTAAAGCCTACAGCTAGGCCTAAAGCCTAGAACTAGGCCTCAAAATCTCTCTTCGGATTGTCCGATTAGGTGTAGCAACATCGCCCCCCTACTGCAAACACTTGGCAGGACCCTACAAAAACCTTTACTCAGTGGGGCTTTCCTGGCTAAACAAGTATAATAATACATTATGTTTATATTCTTTGGTTATTCGTTCCTACCAGCCCACCCCGCAGGGTCCTGTTAGTAATAAACTACCAGGAAGTATCTGGCACCATCTAGGGGAAAAATAAATTTCAAAACTTCTAAAAATATAATATACATCCACAAGTAGCAAGCTATTGTGAAAGCCCAGCGTTCCATTTGTCCATAATCAAAATAAGGAGGCTTGAAGTCCTGGAAATCAAAAAGAGCGTTGCAGGCAAATAGTTGATCTGAAAAAGGATTCTTAAAATTGTCGGCCACCTCGCACAATATTTTAACCCCCCCCCCCCCCGATATATATATACACACACACCACACACACAATAGCGAGTAGTGTTTACTGAATATAGTAGTATTTACCGACTGTACTATCAACCAACTACTAACGCGACAGTAGTATTATTAACCAACTATCCAGGAGTATCTCCTGACTGTAGTATTTACCAACCATAGTATTGAGTACTAGCTGTAATAGCTATACTAACTGTATAGGAGTGTAATGGTTGTAGTAGCAGGTATACAAACTCAATAATAGGACTAAATTCTTGACTGCAGGAATTAATAATCTTCAGTTCTTTTGATAAAGGCAACGTAAAAAATAGTGAAATAATAAATGATGGAGAAAATAAATCATGAAACAAAAACCACTAATGTAGACTGTAGCCTGGTTCTTAACCTCAGTGAGCATATTGGCAGTCAAAAATGGGCATTAAATGCTTACTCTGTTTAATAACCATTACTACCAGTCTACATTATAGACTGCCAGTACACTCACTCCGATTAAGAACCAGGCTAGTCTGCATTAGGGTGTTGCGTTCCATTATTTTTACAATTTTTCTATCTACGTGACTTTACCGAAAGAACCAAAAATATCATACTTTAGATGCCGTGGTGAGGTGTGCAGAGCCCCCTGGCCTCGCCTAGATTGCCCAGCCGGCCAAAGTGGCACCTTGGCAGGCTGTGGTTGGGCTACCCCCCCCCCCCACTCTACAGTAATAGTATCTAAGCACTATAACATTGGCATCTCTCGACCCTACCGTAGCAAGTTCAAACATTGGGGTGGTGGGCCATTACACACTTTGAAGAAGTCACTTCAGCGTTGTGTATTTTTTTTCGCTAAAGGAGTGCGTTGCTAGGGGCAACCACAGCTCTGCTTTGGCTGCGTATGCGTAGTTTGGCACGCGCTGAGCGGCATAAGATAATAAATAGCACTAAAGTGTCAATAACTACTTTAAAGTTAACGGATGCAAAAATGGAAGCGCTGGCTCACCACAGGGCTTGGTGCATGGTAACTGGGCACTTTAAAAAATGTAAATCCCACGGTTCGCGAGCCAAAGCTTTTGGAAGTTTTGTCCATAGACAAAAAAAATGATGCCTATAGGTAAGATATAAGCACACATGCTATCATTTGGAACCAAACTTTCATTGCAGGACGTAGCAATTCAAAAATCTAAACTCACCAATTGGTTGAGATGTCGGCTGCCTTGTAGTGGGTGATGAGCTTACGTGAGCTGTAACCAATAAAGTGAATGTTAGCGTTTTATTTTTATCCGAGGTCTCGACAGTGCAATATATAATTAACTTCATGACACATGTGCATGTCAAGTTTAAATGAAACATATTTTGAGATGTACACACCACTGCAAATGACACCAGCATCTTCACCATGAACGCAGTTGTGTTGCCCCCATGGCAGGTGAGGACAATTTCCTAAAGAGGACTCGGATCCATTGCATGTCACATCATCCAGCCAGATGGTGCCATTGCCTTGACCAAAGTAGGCATTTGATTGGGCAGAAAGAGCAACTCCACAGCCGACCATGCGGCAGACGACCTGGGCATCATTGATGTTCCAGTAATCATCGCAGACCGTGCCCCAGGAGCCAGCATAGAGGACCTCCACCCTGCCTTGACACGAGCTTCCTCCTCCAACCAGACGAATTGCTGATTCAAGGAAAAAATGTTAATTGCATTAGAATTGCCACCTCACATCCATGAAGAATGTTCATATACGTGATAAAAATGTTGTCATTTGGTTCTCACATGTATTTAACAGGAAATCCTTGCCCAAAATACGCGTTTCAGCGATACAGTTTACCAAATGAGGCGTCTATTTTGGACCACAACAGTGGTGTTTCGTCTGTTTTCATCTTCATGCCGACTAGTACTGCATCCGTTTAAAAAGGTGTGAAGGAGATCAATAACGATTAATTTACAAAATCTATACCACGAATGTGTTTTTTGTGTAATATGTAACACATAAATGGCACATTGCATCTAGCTGCCCTTCTGTAAAAGACGCCAGTCATTCAGATTCCGAGGTGGTGACCCATGACCGTTCACGTGACACTGTTAGGAGCGATCTTCTGGCCGTCAATGGGAAGAGTAATGGAGACGGGTTTCGTTTTGGAGGCGATAATGAAAAATAAAGTATCCACAAGAGACGCGGCATCTTTTAGGATAATAGCAAGGGTGGAAATCTAGGAATTAGTTAAAGAAAGAGGGGGTGGTCATTTTGAACTTGGTAACAAACCTATTTTTGCTATGAGGTGTATTATTTGTCGAACACGGTTGAGCGACATGTAACCCTCAGCGAGTTCCGACTACATTGCCATTAATCATCAAGCCGTCTTTATTCTTTTCACCGTCTTGGTTTTACTTTTCGTTTTTGATCGCGTAAATATTAATGTGGCCAGACCATCACGAGTCATCCACATTTCAGAGGGTTACACGAGTTTACCGAAAGAACCAAAGGAGTAGACCTAATTAGGATAATCTTTTGAAATGATAAAAATAATATTTTAACCGCCGGTGGTGATTAAATTCAAGCAGCCAACAGGTATTGCGATTTTTTTGCACCAAAAACGGCCAGATGTGCGTGCATGTGCAACACACACAAGTTATGGCGATTAACTGTAGATAATTCAACCAATAAAAGAGATCAAGTGGAAGTTATACGAATACATTAACTCCCCGCCCCTTCTCTCCACACGCAATTGGCTCACAAGTGACACCACATGCATCCTTCCGTTTAGGACCGAAACAAGATTTCTCTACAATGCTGGCTGTCACCTGATGAGGCTGGTTGTAATTACCAACGAAACTGTATTCAAAATGGTAAATGTGGGTTTATTTGCAATACCGGTTTGCGGAACTAGTAACACATCGTTTTGTTTACGTAACAAACCTCACGAATTCGTTGCCAGGTGGTGGGTTTAACAAAACCCATTTATATTTACATGACTGCAGGAATTCATATTCTTTGGGTCTTTCGGTAAAGTCACGTAGACTGCACGAAACAAAAAATATATATTTTACGCAATCTAACCAGAAAACATGTATACTTTTAGGGAGGTATAGTGTTATACTGGTAGGAACGAAGTGAACCAGCCAACAATAGATTATATCGTCCGTCTGTCGTCCAATTAGGTGTAGCAACATCGCCCCCTACTGCAAACACTTGGCAGGACCCTACAAAAACCTTGACTCGGTGAAGATTTCCTGGCTACACAAGTGTAACATTCCCTTATAATTCCCTGAGATAATTTTTAATGTAAATGTTTTAATTAAAAACTAACTCACAGCGGCCTAAAGCCTACAGCTAGGCCTAAAGCCTAGAACTAGGCCTCAAACTCTCCCTTCGTATCGTACCCCCGCCATTTTATTATAGCCATTCATTTGTTCGTTCCTACCAGCCCACCCCGCAGGGACCCGTTTCATATTTGAGCAAGGGTCACACAAGGACACTTTGAACAAAGGAATCAATGACACAGCTGGTGCATAGCCAGGTGCAGGAAAGCATGGGATTGGTTGAAGACTTGGCTAAAGTGATTTGGTGGGAAACAGAAAATGAGGGGAGAGTGAGGTGGAGAGAGAGACCAATGGACATGATTGGTGGAAAGGATGAAGATTAGAAGGACCTCCCAGAATTTTCCAGAAGGAACGAGGAGGTTGTACGAAGGGGGTGTGACGTGTCTTCAGCACGTTTTCGCTGGGGGAGCGAGCTACCACAAGAGTATGCATCGTGTTGCATGGAACACAGTTATCAAGAAGACGCGTCTGGACAGCCCTTTAATATGTAACAGAGTTGTATATTGATAAAATCTGACTAATCTTTAATATGCATACGTTTACATAACATGCATATCCTTGCAAATTGTAAGCATCTTGTATGTTGAACTTCTTTTCGAACCGTACGTAGCCAACCGTGCAAATTGGAGGCGCAGGGGACGGAGAACAAACATCTGTTCTAAATACGTTTTTAATCTGTTGTCAAAGTGCATGTCAAAATCTGATCCGAGCATGGATCCAAGGACAAAGTGTTACTGCTTTCTGTAATGTGGTGAATTCTTTGTACATGGTTTTAGGATTTCTATATTTCAGTCGTTAAAAAGGTATGGATTTGGGATACCTTGTCCCGTGAAATCGAGCGGCCTTACGAGTGCTGTTTAGAGCGTGAATTGCACATTCTTTCAGAGTGGTCGGATTGTATCATCATACCTTGCTGAGCCGTCACAGCCTGGATCGTGAGGACGAGGAGAAAAATGACACCAGACATGATGCCCTGGTTTTACTCGCACCTTGGTTTAAACAAAGACAAAGACCTTCCAGTAAAGCCTTCAGACTGTTGGGGCAAGCACTGTTACAGAGCACCTATAAAGTCTGACACGGCACAAGAGGGTTGATGGCCACCCCACCAGATTCTCATGAGGCAGAGTCGATCGATGTAAGCCCAGAACCAGATCAGATAGTCACCGATGTGCGTTTCTATCTACACGATTAAACAAATTCATAATTATTATTTTAGTTATTGAGAGAAGTACGTAAAAAAATCCATTCGACAAAATAGCATTTACCGTTTCCCCCCACATATAACCTGCAAAAATAGCGTTTTGTGCAAAATAAATCCGAGATAGCCCGCACGGATTCATATATTTAACGTCGTTACCGCAGCTTAATTCTATCATTAATACGAAGTTTACATGTGTAATACATTCCACTAGCAATTGTTAACGTTAAAATAATAAAGTGCACAAAGAAAACAAACCGGAAACGAGCATTTTTAAAACAGTTAAGTAGCAAAAATATATCAAATAAATATTGTATATACAATAAAGAAAGAAAAAAACACGTAACTGGTAGATAAGCAAGTACAGATTTAGCACTGGTAGATTGCGCACTGCACAGACAATAGCGGCACTACGGCAACGCCATTGCCTCGCCCCCAACCCCCCCACCCCTCCCGTCGCCGGTAAACAAAGTGCGTCCACTTCAAACAATTTGTTTCTTTGTACAAACAATTCAAATAATTTAAAACGCGATAACAAATGCAATTTTAGTGCGAGTGGTTTATTCAGCAGTGCTTTAGTCAAAAGTAAGTGTTGCATAGGTGGATCGTCCAACAATGAAACAATTAAAACGCAAAATATTTCTGGGATAGCCCTGCACCTCCATATACCCCGCAGGGTCTTGTTTGTATAAAAGTGGTCTCACCCCACGGGTTATATGCGGGAAAATACGGTAATCGAGCCAATGATAAAATGAGATTCAAACTGCCATGGTTTGGTTGTCAAAGCCAGGAAACCACTTGGGCTATCGAGTGTTAATTTAAATGGCAAGAGATAGGAGTGGGGAAAAAAGGCACACTTTTGGATATCGACATCTCAGAACAAACTATGAATGATTTAATATTGATGCCAAATGATTTGTTCGTGGCTTGAGCTTTAAGTCAGGTAGATTACCTTAAACTGCATTGAAAAGCATAAATATATTCTTGTCACCATCCTCGCTTAATTTGTATGTACAATGAACACGATTGAATTTATTAAATGCTTAAAATTTACTTAGAATAGGGCTTTATGGACTGCATTGAATTCTATACCATTCACTTTCATAATGTATTTGTACTGCACAGGTTGACAATGTGTTAGCAACGCAGTTACGGAATTTCCTGAGGAGGAAATAGTCAGACCTTTTACGTCTATACAAAGGACATTGTAAGTTGATATGAGAGAAAAGGAGTAATCACTCAAGGCGATAGAAATACAAGGAGGTAACAATGCCTTTCAAATTTTAAATGGTCACTCATTTCGTACACAAAATACTTAGCAAAAATAAAGTCCAGTCAAAAGACGTTCTCACCAGCCTTTGTTGCGTGTATATATATGTGACACAAGAGCATGAGGCACACATGGGTATTGCAAATTTATCACATTTGAAAAACTACGTTTGTTTAAAAAGGTGCCACCTTGTGCCGAGGCGATTCTTTAAGGCTTTGTTGAAGTACAAATGTAGGAAATGCCCTTCGAGTGTATAATAATTATAATCATAGCTCGGATGCACTTTTAACGCAAAAACAAGTGGACAATGGGGATAAATAGCTCGGTACAAAATGTGAAAAAGCCCATTTCTCCCTTCCCATGTACGCAAGTTACTTTATTACGTGCTGCATTATGTCAAGGAACTAGCATCTGGTTTACTGTACGATATACATGCAGCAGATTATACAGCCCAATAAGGTGCACGTTTGGTACTAACAAAACAGCATGGCAACCCATGACACGTAACGTTTTTCGTGATGCACATTTTAAACGGTAAAGACTAAAAACTAGTCGAATGATAGACAGTGCCACATTCCACCCACCACAAGCTCAACGTCAACATAAATTACCGCAATCGGCTTCTTTTTGTTAAGAGGAAGCCCTACAAAAATCTTACCTACCGCAATACCAGCACCCTAACACCACCGCCTTTCTTTCCACCAACGATAGTGGCTAGTAGGGAACCTGTTCTCTTATAGCGGTTTGTGTCGACCTCGTTATACGGGAATTGGCTTCTAAGCGAGTGGCCTGCGATTGACTCGTGCAACTCTCGCGCGCGCAATTAGTCCTGCAGAGAAGAGGCACGCGGTCTGATTGCAGTCA